TATCTATCTATCTATCTATCTATCTATCTATCTATCTATCTATCTATCTATCTATCTATCATCTATCTAAAAACAGCTCTGTGTGTGTCTCTGTGTGTGTGTGTCCCAGCATAACTCTGGAACGCCTTGAGCAATTTGAACCAGACTTGGTACACAGATGACTTACTCTCTGGAAACAAATATTGTGGGGATAAGACACCCCTAACGCCCCTCGGTGTATCTGTTCTGTTAAGATACAGCCTGTTGTGCCTTAAAATGGCTTCCACTGTACAGCGCAGTGGAGTTGCCGTGATAACAGCTTCACAGTACTCCACAGGGCTCCCTCCGGTAAGGGGGAAAATCCAACGTTAGAAATTACGTTTAGTCTGGACATTTTCCCCCTATAAATAAATCCGCGGGCAATGGCGGCTTCTCAGCTAATTGGCCAATAAAGAATTCTATTCTATTCTCTTTCTGAAGTGTGGGAAACGGATCAGGATGTTGCCATTGTTCGTAAACACCAACCAGTCACCGAGCGTCCAAACTGTGGTCTCGGAACGTGGCGGGATGGTGTGAGGACAGGCCGTAAGTCACTTTTCCCCATGAAGTCATCGTTAAATGAACGGTCGTAAGTTGAGGATTACTTTCTGGGCAATTTGCTTTCACGGGTTTGAAGTCGAGTCGTTTTCTCAGCTGCTTTTTTTTTAAGGGAAGGTTCTCTCTCTTCCCAGCCCACACTCTGATCCCCGTTTTTCTTTACGGAAGGATACAAAGCAGACTCTGCGCGTTGTTGAACATGGAGACCCCGGAGAGAAAGCCGGCCAGCTCTACCACAAAGAGCCCGAGGGTGACGGACAGGGCCACGATCATCCTAGAAAAAGTGTGAGGAGACACAGGCTGAGGAGAAAATTGCAGAGAGATTCAAGGGCCAATACTGTTGTGGCCTAAATTGCGACGCGCCGGGCAAAGCGGGCAAATCCTTTCAATATTAATCTTTAAATCGTCTGCTCCTCGCTTTTGGTGGTGGTTTTAATCTGGGCCAACGACATTCGACGCACTTTCGCGAAACCCAGAAAGCGTGAAATGGCGGCTCTGCCCCCCCCATCACCACGCAGACTTCTTTTAAAATGCCAACCGATGAATACAGTAAATATCCTGCAGGCCGAAGCAAGGAAATCTTATCGATCGGTATGAAAATGGGTGTGCGCGTCTGGGTGTGCGTGTTCCAGCGTTAACTCTGGAACGCCTGGGCTGCTAAAATGAAAAAGGACTGAATCAGGGGTTGGGTTCTGGCAGAGAGGACTGCCGGTTTGCTCAGGGGAGCACCGTGGCCGTACGCTGTGTGCAATAAATTGCTCTGCGCATGCGCAGAAGCAAAAGACAAGATGGCGGCACCTACGGGAGAACTGGTCCGGGGGCGTGGCAGGCCTGGATCGCTACCAGCTACAACGACCCAGGCTGCAAAGCTACTACTGGCCGAATCGGTTGAAACTGATAGGAACCCACCACTGGGCTGAATTATATCTATAGTGTCAAATCACAGTACTTTTGACAGTGATAAGTGATAATACAATCATTTTCCCATCTAATACAGGATAAGCATAAATACATACCTGGGCAAATGCCGAGTTATCAGCTAGTATACAGTATTTCACAACCAGCTTCAAGCTCTGTGGACTTCAACTCCCAGAATTCCCCTGGGCCTCTTAAGAACCAATAATCTGGGGTTGTTGTTTTTTCAAGTTCAATAAAAACGCTTAAAAATCCCACGATTCGGGTCACTTCTGCTGCAAGGCCACGGAGAACCCAAAACTGACTCCGATCCCAAGCACAGGGAGTTAAGCTTCCAAAGCTGCCATACCCATCCTCCTCAGCCCCCAGCCCTGGCAGCCATTGTCCTCAGTGGACAGAGAAATCAAGGAACTTGGAGATAGCCAGTGATGGGATTCAGACGGTTCGAGATGGTTCGAGAAAACCGGTTGTTAAATTGCTGGCTGGCCACGCCCCTTCCAGGAGTCCCCATGCGCCCCTTTTTGGCTCCCAGGTAAGTGCAGGGAGGCCTACTAGACAAAATGGGGTGCAGGGGGTGCAGCGCCCCCACCCCCTCATTTTTGCTCCCAGGGGGTGTTCTGGCCCACCAGTGGATTGTGGCAGCGGATTCGGACAGTGAGG